CTGCAAGGCGTCTGCGGCCAGAGGCCGGGAGCCGCGGGGCAGTGCACGCGGGGCTGTGGGGACAGCGGCTCCTCCAGGTGCTCCGGGCTGGGCTGCCTGTCCGTCCGCGGCAGCGCTGGTGGGAGGTCACCTCGGGCCCAGGGCACCGGGGGCTCGGCTCCGCGCAGCGGCCTCCTGGGCACCTGCCTCCTGCACATGGGGCCGCGGTGGCCCGCTCCTAAAATGGGAGAAACGCGGAAACAGCAGGAGCCGCGCCGGACCGGTCCGCGCCGCCTGATAGCCGCAGGCCGGGCGGGCGACGCTGTTACCGGTGGGTGTCATGGTGTCGCCGTCCTGCCATGCACCGAGGCGCCGGAAACCGCGGAGGTGGGAGAAGTGGGTCTGAGCCTAGATTTCCACTGAAGGGACGAGGTGCACGCAGCCGCTGATGTTTGAGGGGGCTGCCTAGGGAGTGGCCCGGCGAGGGCGAGGGTCACACTCGGGGACAGCGCCCACGCGTGTGAATTGTGAGGCTGGGTGCTGCGTGGACAGGCCTTACGGGGAGTAGTGTGAGAGCCGGGGCGCGGAAGGTCCCCACAGGCAGCCTGCCCCTCGGGGGGGGAGGGGCACGGGACGGGGCAGACACGGGAAGGACATGGGAGAAACATAGGACATGGGATGGGCAGGCACGGGAGGGACAGGGGACACGGGAAGGGGCAGACGTGGGACAGACATGGGACGGGGCAGACACGGGAGGGACACGGGGTTTGCGATGCCGGACTGTGCTGGCCCTTGGCTCCCAGCTCCGCGCCTGTCCCGGCTGCAGTCAGCGTGTCTCCAGCCCCTTCCCCCTCCCGCCTTAGGAACAAATGAGCCCAGAATTGCCCGTCGGAGCTCATCTGCCCTCAGACAGCAGGTTCACAGAGAACCCGCTGGAGGCGTTTTCTGTGGCTCAGTTCGCGGGGGGCGGGGGTGGGGGGCACGAGCTGGATCCTGCCGCCCCGTGTGACTGGCGCCAGCCGCCCCTGTGGGACAGTCGTGAGCGTGTGTGGGTTGGCAGCTTGTTTTTGAAAAATGAAGAAGATCCAACATGAGACGAGGCACGGAAGTCTGTGCCCCCGACGGCTGTCAGGCCGTGGGGAACCCCGGGAGGTCCCCAGGACGCGCCCCGAAGGCCGCACAGGGCGGGCTGCCTCTTTGAGGAGACAGCGTCCCTCACGGTGACAGGACAGACCCAGGAGAGTCGTCTCCTCCTCGTTGGCAAACGAAAGGGCAGAGAGCGCTGTGACCTCAGGCGCCTGACACAGCCCCGGCCCGGCCCCCGGGCCGCCCCACCCGCCCCTCGAGGCCAGCGTCACTGTGGGCCAGGAAGGCGCCCGACTCACTGAGAGCAGTGTGGCTGGTGGCGGGAGGGTCGGTGCTGCCGGGGGACCCATGACCAGGATGGAAATGGATGGGGGGGGGGGTAATGGCAGAATTGTCCAAAGAACATGCGTGTTTCCTGCTGAAATCGGGGTGACGGCGCTGGGCTTCGAGGTCCCGGCCGGCAGGAACCGTAGACTGAGAAGGTGTCACCATCGCACGGTCATGGGTTCGAATCTCAGCTCTGTGGTCTCCGAGGCGTGTGCCCGCGCTGGCCCCTTCTCTCTCAGCCTCGGGTTCTCATCTGTGAAATGGGAATAATGATATGGACTGCTCACGAGAGCCATACTGCCTGAGGGTAAACACCCACTTAGCACGTGGGCACCCGTCCCGGCCCACGCTGGAGACCGGGCCTGACCCTCAGACACCCGGAGGCGGTTTCACTGGAGCCACGGAACCCCAGCACCTTTTCCGTCTCCACGTGTGTCTGCATGTGTGACGTCCCCAAGAAACGCTGTGAAATGTTACTGGGCAGACAGTTACCTAGACAGTGTGTGTGTGGGGGAAGTATTCGCATGCATGTGCATGTGTATATGTATGTGTATATGCATGTAAATGTCTACATATGCATGTGTAAATATGTATGTGTATATATGCATGTGTGTATGCGTGTGTGCATTATGTCATTTTTGTCTTTTTTGCTGAGGAATAACTGACACAGCATTCCATTAGCTCCAGGTGTGCGCTGTGATGACCTGGTAGCTATGTTTTTATTCGGTGTAAAATGACCGCACGATTGACTGACATCTGTCGCCACACAAAGCTACAGAGACCGTGTGTCCTGGGAGGCGCTGTGGCGGCCACCGTCCCGCCTGCCCGTGGTGCCCGGGTGGCTGTGGACTGTCGTCCTGCCGGCCCTGCGTTTGCTTTGGGGGAAGAGGCGGGAGCTGCAGGAGGCTCCCCGGAGCCGAGCTTTCCCAGGGGCTGAGCTGCGAGCTCTGTGACCTGTGAGTGGCCGCAGGGCGGGGGCCATGGGCGCGTGGGTTGGCGGCTTGGAAAGGCACGCGCCGTGGGCTTCGTGGGCCTCCCGTGCTTTTGAGTCCGCTAAGCCGGACTCCTCACTTCAGGCCACGGAAGAGCCGGGATTTCAGGCAAACGCTGGGGCGGGTGCTCATCCTGGAGACAGGAGGGGGCGGGGCGTGGGAGGGTCCGAGGCCGCAGCCCCTGCAGACTGGCCCTCTCCCCACTGCCCTGCCCAGGGCTCCCTGTGCGCCACCCAGGGACAGCCAGCTCCCGCCCCTCCCCTCTGGGTGTGGGAGGAGGAAACACAGGCAAGGTCAGGAGGGTGTTTCCAAAGCCTCATTGGACGGTGAGGCTCCTGGACGGTGGCCTCGGCTGCAGGCTCACGTGGGGCTGGTGCAGGCGCTTGTTCCCGCTGCCTCCGAGGCGGCTCGGCCTCAGGCCCCAGGTCTGTGGTCTGGGCTTCCAGGGAGGACAGCACAGATGCTCCTGGGCCCCGGGGCCCTCCCCACCCTCCCCTCTGGCCAGGGAGGCAGGGACGTGTTGTGAGTGCGCTTCTGTGGCCCAGTCCCTCCCTGATGGGAGCCCCTCCCAGCGGGCCTGAGCCTGTCCTCTCCCTGACACGGCTGCTTCCGGGGGGCAGGAGGGGGGCCGTGAGTGGGGAAGTGACAGGCATTGTCTGGCCCTGATACATGAGAAGAAGTTGTGAGAAATTTGTGAGAAATGGGTCACTCAGGAGGGAGAAGCCCAGGCCAGCGCTGCAACAGGGTGTGTCCAGGATCTGCTGCCCGGAGACCTGCCCCCACCGGCCGCCCACTGGGGGTTGAGCCGCAACCAGACCTGTGCCCTGACCAAGAATCGAACCCTGACCTCCTGGCTCATCGGTCGACCCTCAACCACTCCGGCTGGGCCTGGGGGACCTGCTGGGGTGACCCTGGGCTCGGCGCCCTGCTGGCCTCTGGAGCTGGGCATCTGCGTTTGGCTGCTCTGTCTCCTGGGTCCAGGGGCCTTTTCCCTCTGTGGCCCCACCAGCCGAGCCCTGGGCCACACGCAGCCTTGGACACTCGTGTCGCCCCTGTGACTCTGTCGGGGGCCGTCACACATAGGGGAGCCTCCTCCCCATCCAGAGAAACCACGGCCACTCCTGTCTTCATGACCAGGACGGACATCTCCGGACTGGAGATCTGTGTTCCACATGCCCCATAAACACATGCCTGGCCTCTGCCTGCAGGGCGGTCACCCTCGCTACAGAGGGCGGCGTCCCCTGAGCCCCCGCCCCCTTGTCCAGGTCACTGCCGAAAACAGGCCACACAGCTCAGACCCACACATCGGACTAGAGAGACAGAGGAGGCCCCAGAAAACAGTGACCTGATTGAGGTTCAGGAACAGACCCGGCCGGCCGGCAGGGCTCAGGGGTGAGCGTCGACCTATGAGCCAGAGGTCACGGTTCGATTCCCGGGCAGGGCACAGGCCCGGGTTGTGGGCTCCATCCCCAGTGTGGGGCGTGCAGGAGGCAACCGATCCAGGATTCTCTCTCATCATGGATGTTTCTCTCTCTCTATCCCTCTCTCTTCCTCTCTGACATCAGTAAAAATACATTTAAAAACAAGTGAACAACATGTCACGTGTGCTCTTTGCTGTGGAGGTGACGTTGTGGATGGGAGCTGTTTGCTCTCCCTCTCCCTCTCCCTTCCTCTCTGACATCAATAAAAATAAATAAAATGAAACAGACCCAGGTTGCTGGGCGGAGAGAGGCCTCTTCTGAAGGTGCCCAGCTGAGCAACGGGGAGCAGACCATGGAGGCCCCTTCGGGGTGGTCATTCGCGAGGGCCCCCGAGCCCTCCAGGTGCCGGCCGGGGCCCGGGTGCGAGCACAGCACAGCCCGCCCCCTGTCCACGTCGGGGTGGCTGCCCAGGCGGCTGTCGCCACCCACGGGCAGCCCATCCCGGCTGCTTTCTCTTTTTAAACCATCTGGGGAGCCGGCGTCTGTCAGCAGAACAGGAAGCCGGCCTCCCCGGCTTGTCTTGCTGCCTCGGCGGCTAGAGCGCGGCGAGGGCGGAGGCAGGGCCCGGAGCAGCGGGGACAGAGATGAAGCGCCCGCGTGGCCCATCTGCCAGGCGGGAGGTGCATTCATTATTGATGGACGGGGCGTGCGCGGCTCCGCTACGCAGCCCGCCTGGGTAAATGAGACATTCTTCAGCAAATTGCTTCGTTTTTCTGATTGCTGATTGTGCGCGTGTCACCAGGCTGACTCAAGGTTCATCGATGCATGCTCAGTAAATTAGAAGGAACATAGCTGTGGATCAGCCGGGAGAATGAATGCGGGCCCTACAATGACCCGGGGCCATTTAATTTTCTGCTTAATTTTGTTGCAGTCAGTTTGCATTTTGGGTTATTATGCAGCAGGAAATTAACAATAAATAACAAATTTGGTCCTCCTGCGCCGGTAATGATATTTTTATAAATCTTTGTAATGCCGCCTTTTCAGGGTCCCGGTCTGTGCCCGTCCGAGGCGCCCGGCGAGTGTGCGGGAGGAAGGCGCTTTATTCGAGCAGATCGCCCCGTTCACGGCCCGCTCTTTAGCGCGCGCTCACATCTAGCCGGCCCTGCCTGACACTAACCCCTTCCTCTCTTCTCAGGGAGCCCGAGGACCATGGACGGCGACGAGGGCCAAGACCTGTCCCAAGTTTCAGGTGAGACCCTCGGAGACCCTGTGGGGTTCCGGTTATGTTCCCGGGGCGGGTGGCGGGCAGGGGCCATGCGGGGCTGCTGGGCAGAAGGGAACACCGTGATGGAGTTGGTGTCAGTGTTTAATGTCAACCCTTAGGGGCCGTCCCAGCCGGAGACGCTGGGCCGAGACTCTCCAAGTTACGATTAGCTCTGCTCTGAAGCCTGAGGCCAGCTGGGAAGGACGTACTACACATGGGTCCCTTGGGGGGGGGCAGGGGGGGTGACTGGTTGATCTTCTCTGGACCCGAACACCCGCCAAGGCCCTTGTTTAAAAGTGAGAAAAAGGGACGGACAGGAGTGGGGGGGGGGGGGTGAAGAGAGAGAGAGAGAGAGGGGAAGGAAGAAGAGGGGAAAGTAGCTTGGAAAGTTTGGGGGCACAATTTAGAATCTCTGCTAAGCCTGGAAGCAGCATTGCTTGCCTTCCCCATATGTTTATTTTTTTTCTTTTGTTAATTCGCCTGAGGATATTTTTCCATTGGTTCTTAGGGAAAGTGGAAGGACAGGGAGAGGGAGAGGGAGAGGGAGAGAAACATCAGTGTGAGAGACATTAATTGGCTGCCTTCCGCAGCCCCGACCAGGGTTGGGGATGGAGCCTGCAACCAACGTACGTGCCCCTGATGGGAATCGAACCCCACACCCTTTAGTCCATGGGCCGATGCTCTACCCACTGAGCCACACCAGCTGGGGCCCCTTATGTGTATTTCAAGCCGTGTTGGACGCGGCCCTTCTCGTCACAGGGACAGGAAGTGGAGCAGTGAGCAGTCGGAGGAAGCCGAGGGTGGGTCACAGGCCGTCCTAGCGGTGGCACCGGCAGCCCCGCTCCCGGGTGTGGGGTGAGGAGCTCCCTGTCGGTGCTGCGCGTGTGGGGGCAGCAAATGGGCCTCTGGGGGTTCTGCCTGTTATATCTACAGCCTCGGCTCAGGTCCGCCCAGGCCGCCGACCTGCCCACTGGTTCCCCAGGTGTCACTGCATCTGCCTCTTGGTCTGATCCGTCCTGTGATGGAGACCTGGACCTGGGGGAGGCCCTGCCCATGGCTGCTCTGAGCTGTGCCCACCTGGAGACGGACCCGCTGCGGGCACAGACGGCCCCTCCTCCGTGCGGCTGCGCCTGGGGGGCAGGTGTGGACTCACTCTCAGGGTGCAGCGACCAAGCCGAGAGCCAGCTTTTCATCGCTGGCTCTAGGCCCTGGGAGTGCCGCTGGGGGCGTGAGAATGGGTCGGCGAGTGTGGCCTCCTCTCCGTAACTCAGGGGTTTCCCCAGACACGCCGTCCGGGTGCACAGAGAGGGGGAGCAGGCGGCGCTGGCACTGGTGCTAACGTCTGAGAACCATGGACGTCCGAGTCCTCTTCATGCAGCTCTGGGCAGTGAGGGGATCGGGATTCACTGTGGGGGGGCGTCAGGGCCATGCGGACGTGAGAGTGCAACCTGTGCCCTCATCCCTTCACATGAAGGAGACCCACACCCACTCGCATTCACACACACACTCACACTCACATTCACACACTCACACACTCACACACACTCACACACTCACATTCACACACTCACACCCACTCGCATTCACACACACACATTCACACACTCACACCCACTCGCATTCACACACTCACATTCACACACTCACACCCACTCGCATTCACACACTCACATTCACACACACTCGCATTCACACACACACATTCACACACTCACACCCACTCGCATTCACACACTCACATTCACACACACTCACATTCACACACACACACACACTCACACTCACATTCACATACTCACACACACTCACACACTCGCATTCACACACTCACACCCACTCGCATTCACACACACTCACATTCACACACACACATTCACACACTCACACACACTCACACACACTCACACACTTGCATTTACACACACACACACTGACATTCACACACACACATCACACACACACACTCACATTCACACTCTCACATTCACACACACACATTCACTCACACATTCACACACACGTACACACACGTTCACACTTGCACACACACTCGCATTTACACACACTCACACTTGCATTCACACACATTCACACACTCACCACACGTACACCACACATTCACACACACATGCTCCACCTCTCACACACACATTCACACACACACGCTCACAGAATCACACAGTCACACTCACACACATTCACACACATGCTCACACTCACACGTACACACACATTCACACACACACGCTCACAGAATCACACAGTCACACTCACACACATCACACACAGTGCTCCAAACTCACAACATTCACACGCTCACACATTCACACACACGCTCACACATTCACACACACGCTCACACACTCACACTCACACACTCACTCACACATACTCTCACACACATTCACACACTCACACACACACTCACACACACGCTCACAGAATCACACACAGTCACACAAACACACCCCACACATGTACACACAGACTCACACAATTACACAGTAACATACACTCACATTGTACGCTCACATGTACACACACACACACAGGCGCAGGGCATCGGGAGCATCTGTGCTGCCTCCGGGCTGCCTCCTGGAACCCGGGGCAGAGGAAGGCTGTTGTGGAAGAGACGGGACGGCTCCTCACCGCCCCTCTCGTCATGTGAACTGATTTCCCTGAAGCACATGCTTTGTTTTGTAAAAAGATCTGTAACAACAAGAACCAAAACGATGTCCTGAAGACAGAGCTGGGCTCTGAGTCTCGCGTGGCCTGGCTCCGGGGGGTCTGGCTCTGCGGGGGTGAAGCTGCAGGAGGCACTGTGAGCCCTTCCCCGGAAGGTGCCCCCCGCACCGCCCTGTGTGTGTGTGTCTGTGTCTGAGTGCACGTGGCTGTGGGTGTGTCTGTGGGTGTATCTGTGGGTGTGCACGCGCGTCTGTGTGTATCTACGTGTGTCTCTGTGTGTGTATATCTGTGTGCGTGTCTGTGTGTCTCTGTGTGTCTGTGTGTGTGTGTGTGTGCGCACACGTGTGGATGGGGGTGAGAATGTCAACGCCACAGGAGTTACACATTCCAAAGCAGAAGGAGGCTCCTGCATGGCCTCGGCCCCCGGCCCTCACCTGGGGTGCACCGGGGACGATGCCGCTGAAGGGAGACCCCGTGGCCATGGGTCCCCTGCCCGGGCCAGGGCCGAGGGCCGAGGGCAGCCTGCGCGGCCTCGCATGTGCTCTGTGTGAGGAGCAGCCGCTCAGCTCTCTGGCCTCAGTGTGGCAGCCAGAGCAGAGCCCCTTTCTTCTCCTCTGTGGCTAGCCCTCCGCCTGAGCTCAGCCTCCAGGGGACCTGCACTCCGCTGTTGGCGGGAGGCCCTGGGGGGCGGGGGAGCCTCAGACCGGCTGCCGAGGAGGCAGCTCCGTGGAAGGACGGAGGTTTGGTCTGGAATAGAGTTTGTACAGTTGGACGAGGACGCGTGTCCTCCAAAACCTCCTCACACTGCGGGTCTGTGCGGAGCCCCAGCGCTCGGGGCGGCGACTGGAGCCTCTCCAGGGCCCGCACTGTTCAAAAGGTGTTTTTACTGGTTTCAGACAGGAAGGGAGAGGGGGAGGGAGAGGGGAGGGGGAGGGGAGGGGAGGGGAGGAGAGGGGAGGGGAGGGGAGGGGGAGGGAGAGGAACATCTGTGATGAGGGAATCACGGACCGGCTGCCTCCTGGACGCCCACACTGGGGACGGAGCCCGCACCCCGGGCCTGTGCGCTGAGGGGAATAGACCCCTGACCTCCTGGCCCACCGGTCAGCACTGAACCACCGACCACGCCGGCCGGGCAGGTGCTGGCCTGCATGCTGTCCGCAGTGCACGTGTCCGTGTGTCTTCACACAGCACGGACGGGAGACAGGGCTGGGCGCTGCACATGCCTGCTGTGCCCGTGGGTACGTAACCATGTGCCCAGTGAGCGTGTGAGGGCCACACACCTCGCTGTTCTCTCCGCTCACGGCGGCCCTGCGAGGTCAGCCAGCACCCGGGGTTCGGCCTCATTTCCCTCGTGGAAGAGCTCTAAGGAGGTGACTCCGTCGCGTCCCCTCGGTCTCGGGGGCCACAGAGAGCTCGGCCCCGACCAGCCGCCTTCCAGTCCCTGCGGGCCGAGCTGGGGTGACTCCATAGCCGCCTCTTCCCACCTGCTCGGCCTCCCTGCACGGGCCTGGGGGAGGGCCACCGCCCAGGGTGTGAAGTCCGCACCTGCAGAGGTCTGCCCATCGCGAGGCCTTCCACGAAGGGGTGCGTGTCCGGTGTGGAAACCTTCGGCGCGAGGCGTCCTGGGGCGCCGGTCTCAGCGGCCACCCCACAGACTCGGGGCTTTTAGGCAAATCAGGGGCCTCTGCAGGTGCGGCGAGGGGGCGAGGGGAGGCCGGGGACAGCGAGGAGGCTGGGGCTCCGGTCGCCCCGCGCGGGCTGAACACGCTCTCTCGTCCGCCTCCCACTGCTCCGCGGGCTCCTGTCCATCAGGCTGCCCCGGGCTCCGCGTCGCACCCCCACCGTCTGCATTAGTCCCTCCTCCCCCCACGTCGCACACAGTGAGGTGGCGGCTGGGAGGCGTCCTCAGCCAGGTACAGCCTGTCTTGTTTTCTAATAAACAGACTGGCCAAATTTTTCTTTAATTTTTTAAATCATTTTTTTATTTCTTGACAACAGTGGGTGCACACTGTTGTATGCTTTTCAGGGTGCAGCCAGTGATGAGAACAAAAACAGATCCTTGTCAGGGGACCGTCCGAAAACCTCACACCCACCTGACAGGCACCTGGCGGTTAGAATACGCGCGACCCGTTCCCTGGCTGCACTCCCACCCGTGGCTGCACCGTAACCACCCACTGCTGCGTCCAATCCCTGCACCCACCCCCCATCCTCCTCCCACCGGGCCATCCGCAAAGAGATCCATTACATTTTATTTTATTTTGAAATAACTGTTTATTTCCAAAAGTGTGTTTCTATCCCTGGAAACAAGTTTCAGCGTAGTGATTTCAAATGATAAATTGATAGAAATAAACTTCAATGAAAATTAGATGTTACGGGCTGTGACAGTGTACCTTGTTGATGTATATGTGTGTAATACCTGGACGTGTAAAGTGCTCATTAAATACCAACTTCTTGCTCACATAAACCTGAAAATGTGCCATGGTTACTTCCTGTCTGCCTGTACTGCCAAACTAGTGGTGTGCACAGCTCTTCAGTTTTCCCTGAACGCTTCTGGTTTCCTACACCACGCCTTCCGTTCCGGGATCGGGCTTCGGTGTAGTCCAGCTTTCAGCACTCGCTCTAGGGTTGCCTTTGACCTCGTTGTTTAACTCAGTGGCTTGGCTTCTGCTGCTCCTCCCATTTTTTTGTTATTTGTTTCTTTCCTTTATTGATTAAGGTATTACATCTGTGTCCTATACCCCCATCACCCCCCCCCCCCCCCGCTCATGTCCTCACCCCCTGGTGTCTGTGTCCATTGGTTAGGCATATATGCATGCAAGTCCTCTGGTTGATCTCTCCCCATAACCCCCACCCGCCCCTACCTTCCCTCTGAGGTTTGACGGTCTGACGGGTGCTTCTCTGTCTCTGGATCTGTTTTTGTTCATCAGTTTATGTTGTTCATCATATTCCACAAATGAGTGAGATCATGTGGTATTTATCTTCTCCGACTGGCTTATTTCACTTAGCATAATGCTCTCCGGGTCCATCCATGCTGTTGCAAATGGTAGGAGTTCCTTCCTTTTTACAGCAGCATAGTATTCCATTGTGTAGATGTACCACTGTTTTGTAATTTATTCATCTGCTGATGGGCACTTAGGCTGTTTCCAGATCTTAGCTATGGTGAATTGTGCTGCTATGAACATAGGGGTGCATATATCCTTTCTGATTGGTGTTTCTGGTTTCTTGGGGTATATTCCTAGAAGTGGGATCACTGGGTCAAATGGGAGTTCCATTTTTAGTCTTCTGAGGTAGCTCCATACTGTTCTCCATAGTGGCTGCACCAGTCTGCATTCCCACCAGCAGTGCACGAAGGTTCCTTGTTCTCCGCATCCTCGCCAGCACTTGTCGTTTGTTGATTTGTTGATGATAGCCATTCTGACAGGTGTGAGATGGTACTGCATGGTCGTTTTGATTTGCATCTCTCGTATAATTAGTGACTTTGAGCAAGTTTTCATATGTCCCTTGGCCTTCCTTATGTCCTCTTTCAAAAAGAGTCTATTTAGGTCCTTTGCCCATTTTTTTTATTGGGTTGTTTATCTTCCTTTTGTTAAGTTGTATGAGTTCCCTGTAAATGTTGGAGATTAAGCCCTTATCGGTGATAACATTGGCAAATATGTTCTCCCATGCAGTGGGCATTCTTGTTGTTTTGTTGATGGTTTCTTTTGCTGTGCAGAAGCTTTTTATTTTGATGGAGTCCCATTTGTTCATTTTTTCTTTAGTTTCCATTGCCCTAGGAGCTGTATCGGTGAAGAAATTGCTTCGGCATATGTCTGAGATTTTGCTGCCTGTGGATTCCTCTAGTATTTTTATGGTTTCCCGTCTTATGTTTAAGCCCTTTATCCATTTTGAGCTTATTTTTGTTGTAGGGTGTGACTTGGTGGTCTAGTTTCATTTTTTTGCATGTATTGGTCCAATTTTCCCAACACCATTTATTGAAGAGACTGTCTTGACTCCGCTGTATGCTCTTGCCTCCTCTGTCAGATAGTAACTGAGCATAGTGGTTCGGGTCGATTTCTGGGTTCTCTGTTCTGTTCCATTAAAGATCAATTATGTTTTAAAAAGCAGTCGGGGTTACCGGGACACACACCAGCAGGAGTTGGGCAGAGAGGACAGGCCCTCCTGGGGACGTCCGGTTCCCTGTGGTGCCCCCCCCCTTCCAGCCCGGGACCTGAAGGGGCCCAGGCCCCAGAGCGCCATGGAGCACCTCCAGGAGGGCCACAGGAGAAACCGGGGTGTGCCCTGTAGTGTCTCAACTCCCACCCCCCAGCCTGAGAACCACAGCTGCTCAGGACAGACGCGCGTGCACACCCCACACTCGCCCCGCATCCGGCCATCGGTCCTTCGTTAGACGGGGTCTCCACTCCCAGGTCTATTGGGCCCCCAGGAGGTCCCCGAGAAAGCAAGTGGCCTGGGTCCCTGGTCGCCAAGCCTCCCCACTGCGGCGCCCCCACTTTCCCAGAAGACGGTTTCACCCACTGAAGTTCTGTGTGAGATTATTCTCACCAAGAGATGAAATAAAAGTGAAAAGACTGCCCTGACCACCCCCTGTGGCCCCCGAAGGGTAAAGCCAGTGCGGGAGGCCTCCGCGAGCTGTCACGGGGTGCGTGTCCCCCCTCCGCACCCTCCTGCCCGGGTGCCCCCCCCTCCGCACCCTCCTGCCCAGGTGCTCCCCGACCCCGCACCCTCCTGCCCGGGTGCCCCCCCACCCTCCTGCCCAGGTGCTCCCCCCCCCACCCTCCTGCCCAGGTGCTCCCCCCCCCCCGCACCCTCCTGCCCGGGTGCTCCACCCCCCCCCCGCACCCTCCTGCCCGGGTGCCCCCCCACCCCCGCACCCTCCTGCCCGGGTGCCCCCCCACCCTCCTGCCCAGGTGCTCCCCCCCCGCACCCTCCTGCCCGGGTGCTCCGCTCCTCCGGAAATCAGTGAGACACGCGGAGCCCTCCCTGCTCTGGTCTCCCAGGGCAGCGATGACGCATTAGTGACGTCACGCGCCTCGACAAGGCCCGGGTACAGCCCAGCAGTTTCACTCCGGTCTCCGGCCTTCGTTTTCCGGGGGACGTTCCCACCGTTCAGCCAACCTTATTCCCGGCACCGGCTCCCGGTGTCCCCACAGCGCCCGTCCGGCGTGGCCTCCGGGCCCATTGCAGATCCGGGAAGGGCGTGTCCCAGGGGGCGTGTCTTAGGTGGGCGTGTCCTGGTGTCTCCGGTGGGCGTGTCCCGGTGTGGGGATGTCTCCGGTGGGCGTGTCCCTGGTGGGCGTGTCCCCGGGTGTGGGCGTGTCCCGGGTGTGGGTGTGTCCCGGTGTGGGCGTGTTTCCGGTGGGCGTGTCCCGGTGTGGGGGTGTCCTGGGTGTAGCGCCCCAGGCTCTGAAGGGTCAGGCTCCCCGCCTCCCCCCCTGCGCTCCGGGCCACCAGCAAGTCCCTCCAGCCCGTGGCGCCCGCCGCAGACAGGCCACCCCGTCGCCCCTTCCGTCGTCGCTTCTGTCCACCTCCCGGGACCCGTCTCTCCTGCTCCTCCCTGAGGGTCATCTGCATGCACGTGGGCCCCGCGGCTGTTCCTGGCCTGCGGCTGACCTCTCCCTCCGGGTTGAGGCCGGTGGAGAGGTTGCCATGGTTCCTGGGGCGGCATCTGGGGCGGGGCCTGGGCTGGACCTCCTTCTCCCCCCCGCCACCCCGTCAGATAGACACGGGGCGTGGGGAGCCCCGGCCTTGGTAACCCTGCTTTGTGGGGGTCACACTGAACTTTCATGCTTCAGAGATGAGGACCCGCAGGCAGGATCTTGGGTGAGCCCTGGGGACCCACGGGCCGGGGCGGCCTGTCCTTCGCTCCCCAGGCTGCCCCCCGCCCCAGGTGAGCCAGGCCAGGCAGCTGCCCAGACATCCCGACAAGAATGCGGACGCACCACACGCGTGCCTCTCAGCGGGGCCCAGCCTGCGACCTTGACCACGAGGCTCAGGGAGGGTGTGGCGGCGGGAGAGGCCACCCCACAGGGCACCCTAAAGGACACCCTGCAGAACAGCCGGCAGAGGGTGTGGAGCGGGACACGGCTGCCTGGCGGGGCCTGGACTCCTGGTGCTTGGACTCTGGCGAGGTCAGGGTCGTGTGAATGGGTGCCCGCCAAGTGTGTGAGATAAAAAATAAATAGAGCCGTGGCCGGTGTGGCTCAGTGGATAGAGCGTCGGCCTGCGGACCAAGGGTCCCGGGTTTGATTCCAGTCAAGGGCATGTACCTCGGCCCTGGTTGGGGTGCAAGCAGGAGGCAACCAATTGATGTGTTTCTCTCTTTCACTCTCTTTAAAAACCAATGGAAAATTATCCTCGGGTGAAGATTAAAATAATGATAATAATAATACAAACCAACCTAAGTTCCAAAATAGAAGGAGGGTTTAAATCGAAGCTCATGCACCTGCACAGTGGGTGTGACACAGACGTTACACTGAAGGCTGGCAGTGTGGTCACGGCAACGTCTTAGGCAGGCACTTTATTTTTATGAAGAGCATGTATCACCCCGTATTGTCTACAATATGTAAATGTGTGGGCACGCACACACATATACACACGCACGCACATACACACGCATGCACACACGCGCACATGTATACACATGCACACGCACGCATACACACTCATGTACACACGCGTGCACATGCACACACACGTATGCACACACATATACACACGCACGCGCATACACACACGCGCACGCACACACACTCCAGGGCTGTAACAGTGAGATCTCCAGCAGTGCATGTGGTTTACGTGTTTGGCCTCCTCCTCCTCCTCCTCCTCCTCCTCCTCCTCCTCCTCCTCCTCCTCCTCCTCCTCCTCCTCCTCTGAGGCCACACCCAGGGGAACCTAGACCCCGAGCCTTCCCTGCTGGCCTCTGCCCAGGGACCAGGGCCCCCGGCGATGGCCACACCCCAGAAGCTCACCTCCCGCCTCTCTCCACAGGGAAGGAGAGCCCGCCAGTGAGCGACACCCCGGAGGACAGCGACGAGCCCATGCCGGTCCCCGAAGACCTGTCCACCACGTCCGGAGGCCAGCAGGGCGCCAAGGCCGACAGGGGCGCGGGTGAGTCAGTCGCGGCCGGCGGAGGCCCTCCGTCTGCTCCTGGGAACTTTGTCTCTGTCCTTCTCCCCACTGTTTCCCTCAGCCGCACACTCAGGAGTGCAGACCCTCGGACAGGCCCTTTGTCTGATAGACGCTCCCGGCAGCTCGGCCAGGGACCCCACGGGCAGCCCCGTGGCCGTGTTGGGGGCAGCCGCCTTGGGGGCACATCGCCAGCCCTGCCCTCCTTCCCCCGTGCCCGGTGTGGGGAGATGGGGGTCTGTGGGTTCGGCTGCTGACAGTCACCATCCCGGGTGTCGGGGAGAGGCCACCTGTGCTGGAGCTCAGGGCGGGAGGGTGCACATCCTGCTCTCCCTCTCACACGCTCCTCAAAGGCGACATTGAACTGAAAATAGGAAATCTGAAACACAGAAAAGAACAGATGATAAACACGCATCTCGGAGAGCTCAGTGGACACACTCAGTCCTGCCCACACCTGTCCATGGAGGACCGGACCCTGGTTCCCGGGCCCTGCTCTCTGCAGTGCACATCGACAAACACGCCCTTCACTTGCCCAGGACCGGAGAGGGGCCTCGGGCCTCGGGCCGGGGAAACCATGTGGACTCGCACCCACTAACCCTCAAAATGACCCGTGCGCCCGGACATCGAGTTAGGGCTCTGGGGGCCATCCTGGCGGAACAGGGCAGCTGTCCCCCAAGTGCCCTGCAGCCTGGGGGTCAGAGCCCCCACGACATCCCTTAGGGCTGACTCCTGGGGGGGGACAGCACACCTGGCGCCGGTGGCCAGCCACGTCCAGCAGGCCCACGCCTCTCTGTGGGTCGCCCCTATGGACCCGAGGGCTTGGTGCTGTGCCCCTGGCGAGAGCCCCAGCCCCCAGTGCTCCTGACGGCCCCAGACTGCGTTCTCTGGGCACCTGGGAGCCGGCGCTGCTCCTGCCCGCATGGGCGTGGCTGCCGGGGGGGGGGCGGGCTTGCCGGGCCAAGGTCTCCTCCCAGGCCCTTTCACGATCACGTTGGTAAAAAGTGAGCTTCAGAGTTTAAGATGGAGAACACCCGGCAGGCCTCTGGGGGTGCCAGCCGCTGACGTGGGCGCTGGGACAGTCGGGAACAAAGGCTCTGGGGGCACAGGCCAGGCCGGGGCCACAGCAGGGAAGCCACGGAGGGCAAGGCCCAGGCGACACCTGTTCTCTCGTGAGGGTAGACCAGGCTCCTGGAGGTAATGGGGAGCCCGGGGCCGCCCCAGGGAAAGGCAGGACGGTTTCTGCAGAGCAGAGCATGAGCAGTGCGTGAGCGAGTGAGGAGTGCAGGCCCCAGCCCCCACCTGCCCCTTCCCGACGTGGGTGGGCACGGGCATCCGCGTGCGGAGCGTGTCACCTACCCAGTGTGCGCTGTGTGTGGGAAGCAAGGTGAGCGTGTGGAGAGCATTAGGAGCCCGGCCCGCGTGGCTCCGTGGCTGAGCGTTGGCCTATGAACCAGGAGGTCACCGTCCGATTCCCCGTCAGGGCACAGGTCCGGGTTGCGGGCTCAACCCCAGTGAGGGGCGTCCGGGAAGCAGCTGGCCAGTGATTCTCTCTCATCATGGATGTCTCTCTCTCTCCCTCTCCCTTCCTTTCTCTCTAAAAATCAACAAAAGTAAAACATTTTTAAAAAGAGCCGTAGGAGACAGTGTAAGGCCAGGGGATAAGGAAGCTGAAGGGGCTGCTCCCGGCGGGCTCAGAGCAGGAGGGCCGGGCCAGGACCGGAAGGGGAGCGCGCCCTGCAGAGGCAGTGGGGCCCGAGGAGGGAGCGCTGCGGGGACCTGGCAGAGCTGGGGGAGGCACCTCAGACGGAAGGAAGGAAGCGCCAAGTCCGAGCCCCTCTCTGGCCCGGCCGAGCCTGGGGTTCCTCATGTAAAGTGGTGGCGGCAGCTGAGCCTGCTTATCTCGTCAGCAGACACGTCCCCAGAACCGCGCAGGGTGGGCGAAGGGAGCAGCAAGCTGCTGCGGACAGAGTAGCACAGACAGAGGGAAGGGACGGACGGACAGAGGGACAGGGCAGGGCAGGGCAGAGAAGATGGCAGCTTAGGCGGACGGAACAGGTGGAACGGATGGCTTATGAAGAGGGTAGCGGAGCCCAGAGCGGCCTCACCGAGAGAGGGGAGGGGAGCAGGGCATGTGGACACCTGGGCGGAAGAGGGACGCGTCGATTTTAACAAAACGATCCAGGTCCTATCCGTGAGCAAGGACCCTGGGCTCCCAAGGCCGTGGCGACCCAGGCCCGGAGGTGCCTGTCCCCTCGGAGAGGAGGGGCTGGGGCTGGGGAGGCCCCGCCCCCAAGTGCCAGGGCTGGGGCAGAGATAAGGAGGCTCAGAAGCAGGGCGCCCACCCAGCTGCGCCCTGAGGGAGACCCGCAGAGAGGCTGAGCAGTGAGAGCAGAAGGAGGGGGGTTGGTTTCCTGCCCAGAGGACCGGACCTGGGGCAGCCATGCCTCCTGGGAGGCGGGAGCGAGGGTGGGCGAGAGTGTGAACAGGCGGCGACCCCGAGTTTGTCTCTAGGATGCGCTCCGCTGGCCTCTGCAGCCGGCGCCCGCCTGCGCTGGACCCGGCTCACGTCCGGCCTCCTCCCCGCAGCCTAATCGCACCTCGGCGGGAGCAGGTGGCTTCTCGGAGCGGTGAGCTCACCTGGTCCTTCCCTTCCAGGAGCTGGACCAGGGTTTCACTCACCCTGGCCAAGATGGAAAAAAACGCAAGAAAAGTAGAAAGAAATCTTTACTTTTTCCCCCTCATTGGAATCCAGAGAAATGGTTAAGTGTGGAAAAACAAATTTTCCTTTTTGCTCCAAGAATTCTAAGTAAAAAGCCCTTCGCCGGATCTGAGTTGGAGGACAGAGGGGCCTGGCAAGAGGGTTTCCTGTACGTTTAGTTGGTTACTCAGTGTCAGATCTCACCTTCGTTGTAAGGTTTCTGACAGGATACGGAGGCCTTGCTGAGGGTGGAGGCAGGCTGCGGCGACAGCCTGGGGGAGGGGTGGCCGGTTTCCACCGTGGAAGGTGGAGGGAGAAGCTGGGCTGGGCTGCCTGGAGGCGGGCAGCTGGTGGAGCGGATGCGCTATCTCCTCAGCAGTTGCAGGAAGTGCTGCTATCTGCCCGCATCGCCCTCGCCCGAGCTGATAAGCCCGAGCTGGGCGTTATCTGGCGGCATCTGAGCAGAGCTGCAGCAGCTCGGGGTGCAGGGGGGCGCTCTGGGGCCGCCGCGGGCCTGGCTGCTGGACCTCAGGGCTGGGCCTGTCTGGGTTGGATTCTTATTTTCCCCCGAGAAGCACCGGCAGGGCTGCTCCTCTTCAGGCTGAAGGGCCAATGGTTTGGGCGGCAGCTCACGAAGCCCCGTTCCCACCCTGACGCGGTCTCTCGGGGACGCCTGGTGGAGGCCGCAGGTGTGGGCACCGGGACGTAGCCACGCCAGGCCATTCCAGTTGGAGAGGCGCCCATTGTCCTGAATTTCCAAAAACTGGGACTTGGCGTTCAGAAAAAGTATGTTGCTAACCAGTAAGTCCCTCAGCTTTTGGAAACAGAGGCTGTGGTGGAACAGGCTCGCGGCTTCCCGCTTAAAGCAAATGTTAGGTTTTGCGTTGCCTCCCCTTGATGGTCGGTGGCCACCGGCGCAAGTCGGACCTTCACAGAGCGCGTGAGCATTGGCACTGACATTAAATCTGTGAGTGCGTGAGCCACGGACCTGCAGGAGAAGTGGGTGGGATGGTGTAGAGAAGGGGCAAGGAAGGAGGCGAATGAGTTGCCTGATTTAGGGAAAAGGTCTAGAAAGAAATATGGTGGGGAAGCCCCTGGAAAAGGGAGCGAAAAGAGGGGCAGGTGAGCAGGACGAGCTGGAGAAGGGCCCTCGGATGGTGGTGAAGTCCCAGAGCAGCTCAGGGGATGAAGGCATAGGTGGGATGTAAATGATGGTGAGGGTTATGGAATGAGTGAGCGAGTGAATGAATGAAGGAATGAGTGAGCGAGTGAATGAATGGAGTGAGTGAGTGAATGAGTGAGTGAATAAATGAATGAGTGAGTGATGAATGGTGAGTGAACAAATGAGTGAATGAATGAATGAGTGAACGAGTGAGTGAATGAATGCATGAACTAATGAATGGGTGAGTAAGTAAATGAGTGAACGAATGAATGCATGTGTGAATGAGTGAATGAGTGAGTGAATAAATGAATGAGTGAACAAGTGAATGGTGAATGAACAAATGAGTCAGTGAATGAATGCATGTGTGAATGAGAGTGAATGAGTGAGTGAATGAGTGATTGCATTGGGGACCTCCCTCCTCTCGCAGGCGGAGGCTGTAGGACAGTCGGTGGGTTAGGATTTAAGCTTCACCAGGCAGATTACTTTAGGTCGGTGTATCTCACTGGGCACAGGTGGCATTGGGGCAGAGCCAATTCCTCCCCGGGTGGGATATTTAGCCACCCATGTCCCGCTTCACCTCAGTCATCATGCCTCTCCAGGTGTCCCCCATATTTCCCAGGTGAGAACCCCACTGCACCCCACCATTTCACCCAACGCCTTGTCAGCCACGCGGGTCAGCGCGCCTCACGCACGAGAGCCCTGCCCACGCAGGGGGCAGTTTGTAGCAGGTTAGTTGAGCTTTTTAAATATAGCCAGCGTATCCCCAAACCTGGCGAATGAATTAAAAGAAAAAAAGAACATCTGCAGCAAAACTGGACCAGAAAAAAGTTTGTCAAAACTGGATCGTGGCTTTTCTGACCAACTTCCAGTTTTAACTTTCTGCCTCTGAAGGTGTTAACTGAAAAGTTGCTTATTTTTACAAACAGAAACCAGTGTTCATCTTATCTTCGCTTCATGCTGGCAGCTCCTAGGCCCGACCACCCCGCGCCCAACTGAGTTACGAGGGGAAGTGCGGGCTCTCCCGCGAGAGGAGACGAGTCTGGTCCCGTTCTCTGCTTGGCTCCATCTGTGTGGAGAGCAGGGCTGGCTGTGTGCATCAAACAACCAACCGACATGTCGTTA